CCCCGCCCCCCAGCTTTCCAAGTGTGTCAGGGGTCACAGCCTCACAGAGCTCCTGCACGGCCTGCCAAGTGCAGCGGGGAGTGGAGCGTGGGACATCGGGGCCAGCTCTACAGAGGGTGTCGCCTGGCCTGGAGGCGCCTCTGGCCCCTGAGACTGGGCTTCATGAGACAGCCCTAGGCTTCTCCCCGGGGTGCTCCCACCCTAACAAACACACACTGGCGCCTGGTGGGGGGCGGGGGCTTGGGGTGGGTGAGGTGACGGTTTGAACCAAGAAATGTTTTGGGTCTGGTGGTTTAGCAGTGACTCCCAGGCAGTGTCTGTCCAAGTGTCACGATCCGTAGCCCTGGGGGATGTCAGCCCTGTGCTGTGTCCGTGGACCAGCCCGCACACTTGGGAGAGCTTCCGGGGTCAGAGGTTACTTCCCCAGCCAAGGCCGTGAGCAGCTGTAGCAGGTTGGGAGTGGCAGGGGAGGTGGGATGACTCATGTGTCCCGGTGAGACTTTCCCTCAGACCAGAGCACCGGGCATGAAGCTGAGTGCAGAGCCCTGCTCCCCTGCCCTCCTGTGGCCGAGCCTTCCTTCAGGGAGTTTGGTAGGCTTCTCAGCCCGTGTCCTGGTCTGAAAGCAGCCTGTGACCCACCCGGCTGTCCCTGTCTGGCTGTCAGGGTTGAAGTGGCTGAATCCAAGCCTGCAGAGTACCCAGGTCAGCTAGCTGGGCATGGAGGGGCCCATGCTTGCGGGGACCTGCTGGAGGGAGGGATTGAGGTACAGCCGCTCCTCTGCATGTTCCTGAAGGACAGTTTGACGGGGACCCTGGAAGCAGACAGTGACCCCAGGTCGTATGGAAGGCCCCTCAAGTCTGTTGAAGTGTAGATGAGGCAGCGCTGCTAAGTGATGGTCAAAGGGAGTCTCCAGCCCTGGCTCCCCTGGTTTCACAGGTTTGGCTCTTGGCTTTAGGACGGCGGGCAGGTTGTCCAAGACCCTCATAGACTTCTGGTGTGCTGTGCACCTGCTGTCCTCTGAGCCCGGCTGGCCCCTGTGCCCAGCCGTTCCCCACGGCTCACCCTCCAGAGCTGCTTCTTTCCCAGTTGGAGAAGGTCTTGGGAGAGGCTGGCCCGAGGGCTGCCTTTCCCCAGAGGTCAGGACCCCAGCAGCTGACAGGAGCCTCATCTGGGCCCCACTCGGGTTCTTACAAGAGCAGCTGCAGTGCCTGCCGGGAACCCTCCTCCACTTGAGCTGTTGACGCCCCTCCTGGGCCTGACCCAGAATGTGATTCTCAATAAAAGGCCTGGACCCTGTGGCCAGGCTTCCCAGAGCTCCCAGGGACCGGCCTGACTCCCGGCCGCATGGGCCCTGGTGTGTGAGAGATTGTACAGAGGCTGGGACAGCGTGGCTGGCAGAGAGGTGGTGGGTTCACCTGGGCATCTTGGGGCCTGAGTGTTCAGGGGAGTATGCCAGGCAGGGAGACTGTGGTGTCGGGGCCAGGGTGCCCCTGAGTTGGGTGCCCCAGCTTGCTGAGGCAGGTTGGCCCCACTAGACACTGTGTCTTGGGTGCCCGGCCACTACCAGGGCACACTGAGAGCATGAGCGGCATGGACTTCCCAGCCCCCACTGACTTTGCCCCTTGCCAACTGGCACCTCGGCCGGGCCTGAGGCTCGGCTCCAGGTCCCCTGTGCCCCTGTCCATTGGATGGGGCCGCCTTGGGCCCGGGGAGGTCACGTGCCTATCTTGTCTGCAGGTCACCAACGAGATCCTGCCGGTGCTGCCCTACTCCTACCTGGCGGTCCTGGTGCCAGTCTTCCTGCTGACCGACTACCTGCGCTACAAGCCGGTGCTGGTGCTGCAGGGCGTGAGCTACGTGTCGCTGTGGCTGCTCCTGCTCCTGGGCCACACGGTGCTGCACATGCAGTTCATGGAGTTCTTCTACAGCATCACCATGGCGGCCCGCATCGCCTACTCCTCATACATCTTCTCCCTGGTGCGCCCCGAGCGCTACCAGCGCATGGCAGGCTACTCACGCTGCGCCGTGCTCTTGGGCGTCTTCACCAGCTCGGTGCTGGGCCAGCTGCTTGTCTCCGTGGGCAGCCTCTCTTTCACTGTGCTCAACTACATCACCTTGGGCTTCCTGACATTCAGCCTGATGCTCACCCTCTTCCTGAAGCGCCCCAAACGCAGCCTCTTCTTTAACCGCAGCACACCCTCAGACCACGCAGCCCTGCCCTCCGAGCTGGACCGCATGGCCCTCGGGGGCCCCAGCAAGCCAGTCGGCGGCAAGTATGCCACACTGCTGGCAGCCTGGCGGGACTCTGTGCTGGTCCGCATGTGCCGTGAGCTGGGGACCAGACTGCAGCAGCCGCAATTACGCCTCTGGTCCCTCTGGTGGATCTTCAACTCCGCCGGCTACTACCTGATCACCTTCTACGTGCACATCCTGTGGAACAGTGTACAGGACACCCAGCGCAGCTCTATGGTCTACAACGGCGCGGCTGATGCTGCCTCCACCCTGCTGGGTACAAACACCATCCCTTGGACCTGCTGCCACCTGCCGCCCCCAAAGCCTGGGAAGCCCCATAATGAGCAGTCTCCCTCCCCGTCAGCCTTGGGGGACCCTAGAAAGTGCTGTCTCCCTGCACCCCCAAGGTCCCCTGGGGGCCCCTTAATGCACAGTCCCTCTCAGGGAACCTCAGAGGGCCCCTAACACGCTGTCTCCCCCAGGTGCCATCACCTCCTTTGCTGCAGGCTTTGTGAAGATCCGCTGGGCCCTGTGGTCCAGGTTGGTCATTGCCACGGTCACTGCCATCCAGGCGGGCCTCATCTTCCTCATGATCAGCACCAACAACATCTGGGTCTGCTATACCACCTTTGTGCTCTTCCGAGGTGCCTACCAGTTCCTGGTGCCCATTGCCACGTAAGTCCGGCACGGGGGTGGAGGGCTTGGTAAGGTCTGGCCTCCAGTCTGCCCCGGGCTGGCCATGCACTGGGCGGACACACTTTTCTCCTGCTGGGTGATCCCCTGGCAGATGTTTCCATGTAGGAAGGTGGCTTCTGGCACCTGAAGAGTTGGCCCTTCAACCCAGGGCTGTGGCATGTCACCCTAAGAGGGCGGTGTGGGCCCTGGGTGCCTTGGCCAGGTCCAGTTATCCACTGTCCATCTCAGGCCCGGCTCTTGTACAGGCCAGCCTCTTGCCATGCCCTCCCTGGGTGGGCGGGGACCACCACAGCTGCTTGGCATTCAAGGGCTCCCTGGTCCCATCTGACTAGATGCTTGCTGGGGGTGTAGGGTAAGGATACCTGGGCAGCCTTACCCCGATGACCCTGCAGCAGAACTGGCTACTTCAGGGATGTTGCTGCGACTGGCTTCAGGCTGAGGTTCTGCTGGGATGTCACGGAGCCCTCTCTCCCAGCCCTAACCTATGCCCACAGACAGCCCTGCTGCTTCTCCCTCAAACTCAGGTCCTCCCTGCCTTTGCCCTGCCCCCAGCTGGGAAGGGTGGTCCCTGCCAGCCTCATCTTCTGCCCCAGGGCTCCCTGATGCCTGGCTCCTCCCCTGTCCCCTGTCACTCAGGAGCCTCCCCCTCCACCTGCACCCCCAATGCCCAGGGGCATCCTATGCTGCTGGCTGGCTCCACCTGTGCCTCGGGCTCTTTCCAAGCCAGTGCCTGCGCACCCCTGGACCCCTCCCTCTCCTTTACACTTGCTCTTTCACCAGACGTGCCATACTACCCCTGCTCTGAGCCCACCTTCTTCCCCTGACCCTGTTCTTGAGACCCCTATCCAGGCCACCAGGGGAGCAAAGTATTATGCATATCTGGGTGCACATGTGGGCATGCACACACAAACATGTGTTGTATAGATATTCATGGGCGCGCATAGTGCACATGTGTACACAGCATACACTCACATGGCATGAAGCTCTCCAGTGTGCACACAGCACAGTATATCGTGTGCATGTGCACGTGTGTGTACACCATACCCATGCATGTGCCCACGCAAGGACCCTGGTTCCCAACACGTGCTCCAACCGCTTGGAGGGAGAGGCCATGCCCTTCTCTGCCCAGCGAAGTGCTGAGCCATCTCATTCCAAAGACTTTGGTCCCGGCTCATTGCCCTGGTGAGGGCCCCTCTCCTCCCCGCATGGGCTCTCCCTGGGAGGCCCCTCTGGCTCTTGAGTGCTGTCTCCCCCAGGCCCGTTCCTGAGCCCGAGGAGTGTGTGCAGACTCCTGACCGCCCAGAGCCGCCCCTCTGGAGTTGACCCTTCCCGTCCTCAGCCCAGACCTCTTGGTGCTGGGGTGATGATTTCTTGCCAGAGACCCACTCCCAGCCTCCTTTGTGTGTCTGTGACCTGCCCTCCGAAACTCCTCCTGGGAACTGGATGTCCCTCCTGGGGCTCCTCCAGCGCTGCGATTCATCCCAATCGCATCCCCTGCCTCACCCCTCCTCGGCCGGTGCGCTTTTGTGTGGCACCGTCCAGTCAGCTGTGACCGCAGGGAGCCTGTGTACACTGCCACGCTACCCGATCCCACGCCGTCTTCACCGTCGTTAGATTGGAGACCACGGCTGCAGCCACTGTGTCAGTCCATCTCGTGAAGGGCCCTCCTCTTTTTCACCAACCCCCCGCTTTACCATGCAGGACGTCCTTCATGGACCGGTGAGGCTTCTTGGCTGTTTTCATTCTTCAGTTTTTCTGGGGAGCAGTAGGATGAGTCTGGTCAGTTTGGTTTTGAAACGATCCTTTGGAGATTGTCCCTCCCCGGCACTGCCTGGATGTGTTAGTGTAGCCTGCAGAGGCCCGAGCACTCTGGGGGCCGGCTTCACCCTCCTGGGAACTGGTCCGTCTCTTCACTTCCTTGTTAAGAGTCATCATTGGGATTTGAACCAGCGACGACGGCTTTTCCTAAAATAATGTCTGCTTGCCTTTCTCCTAGCTCCTCCCGCTTTCCTGGTTCGTCTCTGCCCCTTCTCCAACTTCCTGAGTCAAATACTCAGTTCCCTTACTGGCAGAAGACCGATCGGGGATTCTCCCTGTCATCTCTCTCAGCCCCACAGGTTTTGCTGATGTCTGTTCCCCCGGCTCTTTATTGTTGGTGAATTTTATGACTCTTCTGATTTGATCTCGGCTCCTGGACTTCAGCAGGAAGGCTGTTTTTGAGCATCTCTGTACCGTTGTGTTTTGTGCTTCTTGGATGGCGCCATGACAGCCTGGCAGGCACACGTCCCCTGACTCGTGGCCTAGGTTGTCGGCTCCTCCCGAGAGCTCCCTTGGTGCCCTGGGCCCTGCTCTTCCTGGCACGCCGCCGAGCTTGGCTTATGCACGGGGTGTGCTGAAGGGCAAGGCAGGCGGGTGGGCTGCCCCTTGTGGTCATACTGAGGAGGTACTGGCCGCCACCCAAGTGGGGTTTCCATCTGGCACTTGCTGGTGCTTCCTGGCTCCCCCCACCCCCTACGCCCCCACCGTCCACGGAATCCTGACTTCTCGTTTTTCCCTTGTAAGCTTCCTGATTGCGTCCTCGCTGTCCAAAGAGCTCTGTGCCCTGGCCTTTGGGATCAACACATTCCTTGCAGCCTCTCTCAAGACCCTGATCATCGCCATCGTGGCAGATAAGCGGGGCCTGAACCTCCTAGTCTGCTCGCAGGTACGCGGGGTGGGGCTGTACACCTCCCTCTGGGGCCCAGTGGGGGCCCAGACTGCCGCTCCAGTTTGGGCTGGGTGTGGGCACAGTGGGGATCGGCCCAGCCTCAGCTCGACGTGCGGGCACTGAGTCAGAGCAGGCCACGCCGTGGCCCCCACACAGTGAGAAGCAGACAGCCGGCCGAGACAGAGGAGGCAGGGGCTTCGTGTCCTCCTCCTCCACCCCACCTGGGGTTAGGTGGATGGCCACACACCTGACAGTGGCATATAGGCAGGACTGTTTGTATAGACTCACAGGGCCACACACGTGCTGCCTAGCCCCCCCAGCACAGAGTGGACAAGCAGGGGCTGTAGGAAACAGGCTTTGTAGTAACAAGAGGGTAGGCAGGCTGACCCCGGTTTGCTGTGAGAGGGTGGGATTGGCTTGTCTGGGTGATTTTGTGGGCCGGCAGGAAAGGGAAAGCTATACTCCGGGGGAGAAGCAGGTGTTGTGCCTTGTTGTCCCATAGTGAAGAGGGGGTTTGGTGAGGGGGCCTTCTCACGGGCTCAGGGTTGGGGGGCGGGGAGCTTGCTGTCGGCCTCTAGCTGCTAGTTGTCAGATGTTAGGGCAGCCACAGTGCCAGGCCGGGCAACACAGGGAGCCAGAATCTATCCTTCTGCGTTGGTGGGGCGACTGTTGTCTCTGCCCACTCCCACCCGGCCTGCCAATGCTGCTCCCGCTTCTTGTGCCTAAAGGTGCAGCTGATAAATGCCACCCCATCTGGGCAGGCACTCCAGGCCCCAGGAGGCCTCTGCAGCCCCAGCCCAAATTCCTCCTGCTCACAGGCAGCAGTGGTGAGTCATGTGGGTGAGGAGGAGCTTGTCCCAGAAGCACCCCAGGAAAGCCCGATACTGGCTCTGCCCTTGGGCCTTCACTGTGGGCACCGAAGGCCCCGAGTCACCGCATGCCCCCTGCATCCTTTTGTAGCGGCTTCTTGTGCAAGAGCTGGATTCTCAGTCACCTGGCAGGCCAGGATGGCATGGGGCCCTTCATGATGGGTTTCTCAGAGACTTCCCCCCAGGCGGCGGGGTGGGGGGTGCTCAGCGGGAGGGGTCTTGGGCAGTCTCTTTCTACAGAGTGACCCCCCCTCCTGCCTTTCCACATAGTGGTGCAGCTCGACCCCATCCGAGGTGGGATGATTCCAGCCCCAGGCCACCTGTGAGCACAGCACTGGGCCAACTCGCCGTGCCCGGGAGAAAGGAACATGCGTCTTTGCTGGTGGGCTCCACTGGCAGGTTAAACAGTGCCTCGGAGCAAGGGGGCGGCCTGCTCACGGCTAGAAATACCGGTGATGCCGGAAGCGGAGTAGCGCCAGCTTAATCTGCTCGCTCTCCCCAAGTCCGGGCTGCGTGTCCCCTGGGGTGCCTTGAAAAGGGATATGCTGGGGCTGGCAGGGGAACAAACCTGGGGGGCAGGAGAGAGCTCAGCATGCAGGGGCCTGGGGCCGCTCCTCCGTTACTTGGTCTCTAACTCAATGTTGTCCCTGTCACCTGTTGTCGTCAGTTCTGGGTGTCCAATCTAAGAGCTCTTCGCCTAACCCTAGATCCCAAAGGTCCCTCCCACTCCGCCATGCTTGTAGAAAGCGTGATAGCTTTGCATTTGACACTGAAGTCTGTGGTTCATTTGGGAAGTGAGATATGGGGCGTGGACCAGAGGCTTCCGTTGTGTCTGCGGCCCTTGATGAAAAGGCCGCCGTTCCTCTGCCCTCTTGCCTTTGCCCAAGGAACAAGGCCAGGGCGGCCTGTTCTCCCCACTCTGGCGGTCACAGCTCTGCGGTCAATGTCAGGGTTCTCGATGCTGTTCTCGCAGTCTTTCTCTTTCCCAGCTGATCCCCCAGGCTGTGAGAAGTCATGGGATTGGGGTAGACGAGCGCCTCCCAACTTTTCTCTATTTTTGTCACAGTTGTTTCAGCTCTTCTGTGCGTTTCCACGTACATTTCAGGGTAAGCTTGTCGGGTGTCTGTCTCCAAAAGGGTCCCGTTGGCGCTGTCGGAGAAGCACGGGACTCTGTGCGGCAGCCGCTCGCTCGCGGAAGAGAAAGGAGGCTTTCTGCTCCTGTAGAGGTGGACAGCCTCTGTTGGAAACCCTGCGTGGGGCCGCCGTGAGGTGGAATCATGCTGGGGTGTTGCTACGCATCTTGCTAATCCCGTGCATCGATTGTGGATGCCTGGGTATCTTTACTACGTTGTTCACTTCCCGAACAGCACGGTCCAGTTCCATTGATTTAGATCTCTGATTGGTCTCAGTGTTTCGGAGCTCTCAGTGCACAAGCTGTGGGTGTGTTGTTAGATCGAAGGGTTTCATGTTTCTTGAGCCATTTCAAGTGATACTGTGTGTGTACTTCTGAGGTCTGTGTTCTCTGCTAGCTGCAATGCCCGTAAACTTGACGAGGCTATGACTAACAGGGTGTACTTACTCTCCGTTGTGTGATCTGTCGCCTGAGTACTTTCCTGGGGAGTGGAGCCTGGATCCAGTGTGTGTGGACGCTCGGGCACAGTCTCTGTCCATCCTACATCCAGCTTGTCATCATCCGACCTCGGGTTCTGGGGCCAAGAGCCTGCCATCTGACCAGTGGACTTTGGGGTCATCAGCCCCTGCAACCATGTGAATCAGAAGCCTTGGGTTTTTCCCTGACCCATGGGTGTAGGGCTTGCCAGCCTCTGTAACTGTGTGAGCCATTTCCTTGAACTGACCCTCCATTGTGGGGGTATGGGGTGCCAACCTCCTGCGCAACCGAAAACCCAGGTATATTTACCCTCAAACAACGTGGGTTTGAACTGAGCGTGGATTTTTTTTTTTTAAACTTTATTCGGATTTTTTCCCCCTCTGCTGCTGCTGTGGTGAGCTTAAGTGCTGGGGATACCTGCTTGAAGCTGGAGCTACCTCCCCTGACACAGGGAGATGGAGTCGCAGCATGCGCATCAGTGGGCCCGTGCTGGTCACACGTGGGTGGTTTATGCGTCAGCTGTGTATTTCAGGAGGCCTAGTGGTGAAGTGGTTAACATGCTCCACTGCTGACCAGAGATCGAGTTTGGAACTCACCTTTTACTCCTTAGGGGAAAGATAGGTCGATCTGTTTCCATCAAAGATTGTGGTGTTTAGAAAGGCCCCTGAGGGACTTGTCTCCTCTGTCCTGTAGGGCACGATGAGTCAGGACCAGCTCCGTGGCAGTGGGTTGTAGGGATATTTGTCTAGAGATGGCTTCGCACAGCCTTGCCTTAGGCTGGAGTCTCCACCTGACTGTGCGCTCAGCAGGTGAGGCACTCCCCCTTATCTAGGCTTGCTGGGCGGACCTGGCTCACGGAGGCGGCACTGGAGCAGAAGTCCTGGAGGAAGTGAACTAGACAATCAAGTCAAAGGGTGATGCAGGAGTAAGTGGTTAGCGCGAAGCATTTAAGCCCCATTGTCAAAATGACCTGAAATGCGCTTTCTCTCGTTTAGAAATCTTAGGGACTAGACCCAAGACCAAATCCTGAAATTTAACATGGCAGCTGCTTGGGGACACTTCCCAAGTTTTCCAAAGGATAAAACCCTCCAAGCTTTAGTCATCAGAATAAAGCAAACAGTAGATCTCCGTGCCATGGTTTAAGATGACAGTTTAATTGAGCAACGTTCACAAAAGCACATTTCCATGCATCCGTATCTTTTGGAAAGAACTGGATGTTGATCACACTTTCATTCTCCAACCTGGTTTTCTTTAGTACAGTATATGTGCTGCCGAAGCAAGCACCTCCAACCTGGTTTTCTTAGCAGTCATCAAAACAACAATCAAAGTAGGTCTGCCCCTGGGCTTTCTGAGACTCTTAACAGGAGTTGAAAGCCTCAGCTCTCTCCCACGGAGCAGCTGGTGGTTCCAAACTGCTGACCTTGCAGTTAGCAGCCCAGCACGTATGCCACCAGGGCTCTGCTCCTTTCAGCACTCAGAGTGCTCTGCTAACGTCTTTGGAACAGGAAATACATTCCTGCCACGAGAGTGTTGTCACTGTCTCACAGCAAGGGACACATGGCATCAAGTGACCATTTTCAAAGACGGAACAGAGGTTTTAGACTGGAAATGACTACATTCCAGAATCCATGTTTACTTTTTAATTGACACTGTTACCATTAGAGAGTCCTTGCATGTGCGAGAATTCAGAGCAAGAAATGGGGCAGGGAGCGCCTCGTCTACCCACCATAGCATCCATGGAACTTGATCCATATGCATCCTGATCGTTTCCCAGTCTTTTACAAAGTTATAGCAAGAGTTGCAATTTTACTATGTTGTTGGCTAAATTAATGACACTATCAGTAGAATTACCGTATGCCCCAAGGGAGTGCTCTCTAATGTTCTTTATCCTGAGATGATAGGGATGCCTCTAAAGTGGACTGGGAACGTGTGTAAAGCACAGATCTATAAGTGGATTTCGGCACTTAATTCCAGCCCCAGTCCAAGGACAGTTTGTTCTATGACTTGGTCCTCCTTGATGGTTTAAGGATATGTCAACCAGCCACTCCTGGATAAAAAGAGTAGGGGTGTCTCCGCCTGACGATAGCCCCACGGGCGTGTGATCTGTAGTACATGTGCTGCCGAAGTAAGCACGGGGGTGTGGCCTTTTGTGTAAGAAGGAGACCAAGACGAGTCAAATCTTTGGCCCCTGGCCTTCTCTTGGAGCTGAATCTCCCGTCTGGTTCCTTGATCTGTTGATGCTAGGAGCTGTCGGTGGACCACTGAAGCTGGCTCATGCCTGCTTCCCCCCACTGCCTCCAGAAATGCAGAATGAGGGCTACAATGGTAGGAAAAGCCAAATGGAAGCCATTAGAACTGCCTCTGCCTAGGAAAATAGTAAGACAAAAAAGGATAGCTCATTCCTGGAGGACTGCAGACATTATGCCCCATGGATGGCGATTCTGCCCGCCACTTCCCCACGTACTCGCCTGTGTGGCCTGTGCAAAGACCAGATCGCTCTTCGCAAATGACAGTGCGTTGTTGGAAACTTAACCAGAGGTGACTCCAATTGTCGCTGCTGTTCCAGATGTGGTTTCGTTGCTTGAGCAAATTAATACCTTTCCTGGTGCCTGTTATGCAGCTCTTGAGCTGGTTGATGCGTTTCTCAATTCTGGTAGCAAAGGATCACCAGAAGCTGGTGAGGGCAACAGTACGCCTTTCCAACTCTCCCCAGTTAGGTTTACTCTCCGGAACTGTGCCAGAATTTAGTCTGAGGGGACTTTGGTTGTCTTTCCCTTCCACAAAATGTCACACGGGTCCATTACATCAAGGACATTATGCTGATTGGATCTAATAAGGACTATCAATGACTTTAAGCGTATTATGAAACACCTGTGTGCCAGAAGGCGGGAGACTAACCCAACTGAAATTTAGGCACCTTCTACCTCAGTGAAATTCCTAGCGATCCAGTGGTACAAGACATGTCAAGATATCCCTATTAAAGTGAAGGATAAGATATCACATCTGGTCCTTCCCACAACTGAAAAGGGGCACAACGCCTGGGGGGCATTTCTGGATTTGGGAGGCAGCATAGCCCTCAGTTGGGTGTGCTGCTCCCACGTATATATCGAGTGACTTGGACAGCTGCCGGCTTTGAGTGGAGCCCAGAACAGGAGAAGGCTGTGCACCAGGTGCAGGCTGCTGTGCCAGCTGCTCTGCCACTTGGGCCACCTGCTCCAGGTGACCCAGTGGTGCTTGAGGTGTCGGTGGCAGCAAGATGCAGTGAGGAGTCCTTGGGAGGCTCCCACTGGTGAATCACAGCACAGACCCTAGGATTTTGCAGCAAAGCTCAGCCAACCTTAGTAGACAACTACTCCCCTTTTGTAAGCAGCTCGTAGACTGACTGTTCCTGGGCCTTAGTAGAGACTGAATGCCTCCCCATGGGCCACTAAGTTACCATGGGCCTGAGCTGCCCGCATGAACAGGGTGCTGTCTGACCCATAGTCATAAAGTTGGACATGCACAGTACACTGTGCCATTCAGTGGGCGTGGTTTGTGTGAGCTATGGGTTTTTCCAGTCTAGGTGCATCCACAGGGACATTGCCAGGAGGCACCATCAGGCGGGTTGGACTCCACCCGCCCTCAAGTGCAGGTTGAAATAAAATCAAACCGCTACAATGATGAGGGATATCGATCTATCACTTTCTTGTTGTTTGTTATTTGTGCTGCCATCGGAAATCCGCCGGAGCCACCCCACCCTCTTAAGGGGTTGCTGTGTGTCTGAAGCGACTCCGTGGCAGTGGGTTTTTGAGTCTTGCTTCGCTTTGCCATCTGAATAACACTGGCCTTGGAAAATGAACGAGGTGCATTCTCTCTGTTGTTTTCTGGGAGAGATTAAATAGAATTGGTATTCATTATTTCAATGTTAGAATTCTCTAGTGAAACCCCTTGGACCTGGAAAGTTCTTTTGAGGGAGATGTTATATTACAGATTCAATTTTCTTCTTCTCTTTTTAGCAATTGTAGAGTTCTTCAAATGCTGGGTTCCCTGTTGAATGAGGTGGAGTAGTTCGTGTTTTTTCAGGAATGATTGGTTCGTTTTGCCTCGAGGTCTGTGTGAACATTGCTGTTTGTACTATATCCTTATAGTCCATCTGATGGCTGCAGAGTCTATAGGGATGGACACCGTGCCATTCCGGATACTTTTATTGCCCTTTCCCCTTCTTTTTCAATCATGCTAGAAAACCATGCATCTGACTGACCTTTCCACTTCCCTCCCTTTCTGGTCTTTGACTTTTCGGTGGGTTCTGTTTCGCTGGTGTCTGCTCCTGTCTCTGCTATGTCCTGTCTTCTTTTTGCTGTGGGATTATTTTCTTTTCTTTTTGTAGGTTCATAAAGCAGGGCCTGCGATGGTTGACTCAACACTCCCTTTTTTGGTTAATTTGTACATTTAGTATTTTTCTTTTTCCTCTCGGCACTACTTTAGTTGCATCTCACGGCTTTTTGACACGTTGGGGTTTTATTTGGATGCCCGTCTGTCTGTTTTCCTCTGGAGACCTCTTTGCTAGAGGGGTCGTCAGGGACAGTCTGATGAAAGGGAGGGTTTCACTGAGACGCCCCAGAATATAATCCCCCGAAGTCCGGGTTTCAATTGAAAATGCCATTGAGTCGACGCCGATTCAGAGTGAGCCTGCGTGGGGCGGGGCAGAGCTGCCCCTGTGAGTTTCCAATGCTGTAACTCTTTAGGGGAGTAGAAAGCCCCGTCTTTCTCCTGGAAAAGTACTTCACATACTAAAAACAAGAAAGATCTTAAAAGAAAATCAGTAGCTGCAACATGAAGGACAACAAACTCTACAGTCAAAACTCATGGCGGTGCAGTCAAGAGGTCAAAGGACGGACTCCTCAGCTGGGCCGTGTGCACCTCGTCCGCCCTGACTGGCCAGGTTGGAAGGCCAGCCCTTGCTCTGGGGGCCTGTGGATGGGAACGGGGTCACAGGTTTCCGGTGGTAGTTGGCGGCTAGAGGAGAGCACTTATTACTGTCTTAATGCTTTTCCATCTCCCTGGGCCATCATTCCTTGGCCCTTTGGCCCCAGAGAGTGGGCATTTGTTGGGCCTTCTTGTTTCTGTGCTTGTTGGGGTTTCTGGGTTCTGGGTCCTTCAGCTGCACCCCTGGGGCAAGCAGAACGCCCGGGCGCCCACCCCCATGAGTCATTGGGCCCTGAAGCCTGTAACTGGAGTGTCTGCTCCACGCCACCTTTCAGAGTCCCCTGTGGTGTAGACTGTCGGGGACGTGCGTGGGATGCTGGAGAAGACTGCCGTCTTCCAGTTGTTTCTTAAGTTTGCTTCTGAAAACTTCCTGAAAGCTGGGCATGCCAGAGCTGACGGGGCTGTGAGCTTCTTGAATAGGGCCTACACTGCCCCCCCCACCCCCCACCTCATGTCCCACGTCAGACTCCGGAACCTAATGCCCTATCCCGCCAGTCTTTCTCTCCTACTTTGGAGCATCCATCCATTCCCTACTGACTGCAGGAAACATAACCGCCCTCCTGCTCCCCGAGAGCCTGGGGGCATACCCTGCCCTTCCCTGGTGCCCTAGGGCTATGTCTCTGGGCCCCACTGGCCAGGTGACGAGGGAAATGGGTGTGGCGGTACGCAGGGCATGGTTCTCTGTCACTGCTGCTTCCTTCCCTGTGCCTACCAGGAGGTGGCTGCCATTCAGTAGGCAGAATGCTAGTCTCAGGCTGAACAAGTAGGACATCTAAGACTCAGGGGCTTGGGGAGCAGGGCTTGGGAGCAACGGACCCTAGCCTCCCATGGAAGCCCGCCTTGCCCCGCCCAGCCTGGGGGCCTTCCTGATTCAGAAGTGACACCCCTGCGCTCTCCACCGTGGCAGGAGCGCCACCCCATAAAGCACACATTTGGGGGGCGTGCAAGCTTAGCAGAAGGGCTCAGGTGGAAAGTGAGGGTGGCACAGAGGCAGGAGGAGGTAGAGCACTCCTGAGGGATTGTGGGAGAGCAGGGCGGCCCTATGGGACCTGCTTCCAATGAGGGGCAGAGCAGTCTGCTAGGGGTTGGCCTCCACCTGAGCCCCCTCTTCTCCCCCCCTCCCCCCTTGCAGTTCCAGGTGTACTTCGGGTACTTCCTGATGCTGTCCGTGCTGTACTTCGCAGGGGCCTTGTTGGTGGACCTGCGACGCCATCTTCGCCAGGGCCGCCACCAACTCGTGGCCCAGGAGATGACAAGCCCCACACAGAAGGACACACAGGTGCCGGGTGTGCAGGACAAGGGACTTGGCAGCCTGTCGCTCACGGGCCCACCGCTGCCTCCACAGGACAGTGCGCAGACGCCATGGCCCACTGCCCACAAGCAGAGCCTGCTGCCCAAGGAGGCCTGAGCCGCTGGCTCTACCTCTTGACGTGGACACTGCGGGGGTGGGGGTGAGGGTGGGGTGGGTGGAGTGATGACCAAGCCAGGTCTCAACATGTCGGATGGGTTGTGTCCCTGGCCAGCTGCCGGCCTGTTGGCATCAGGGAGTTGGGCTCTGTGTTACCCAGACCCAGGGCTCTGATAGTGGAGGCCTCAGGGACTGATGAAGACAGGAAGTGGCCTTCTAGGAAGCCCTGGGCCTGGGCCTGTGGTGTGTGAGCTGCCATGCCAGGCAGTTTTGGCATGTGGTTCTGGCTGGGACCACGGGTGCCAGGACCACGGCTGCCGGGCTCCTCTGGACGATTGCCTGATCAGGAGGGTCCAACCTGCCCCTTGTCTGGAGGGGTGGGCGGCAGATGCAGGTGTCTCCTGGGGGCCTCTTGGTCTCACCTCATGGACCACTCCCGTCTGTCTGAAGGCAGGTGAAGTGCCAGTGGACTGGTGTCCTGGACTCGCAGGTCACAGGTGAGAGCCACAACCAAGGAACCAGTCACAAGCCCCCCAGACCCCAGGCCCCAGTTAAGCTGTGACATTTCCAGTCATCCCAGTGCTCAGACTTCAACCATGCTGTCACTTCTTAAAAATCAACTGACATCAAAGTGGATGGAACGTGCTCTGTGGATCTGCTTCTGCCTGAGGGTCTAGCTCTCTCTCAGAGGCCCACAGTCAAGGGCTCTGTCCTGGCCTCCCTCAGAGATAGCGGAGCGTGGAGGCTGGTGTGTTTGAGCTTGGCTGTGCTGGGTAGTGTGGGGCAGGCTGGCACTCACACACACCCACACGTGTGTACGCACACACGCACGCGCACAGCTGCACTAGCAGCTTGTCTCCGCATCCCTGGGGGGAGGTGAGCAGGTATAGTGGTGGCCTTGCTTGGTGTCCAGAGGACCCACTGCTGTGCCTGCTGTAAGTTGGCACTGGGGGAGAAAATGACCCAGAGCCATTTGCGCTGTCTCCAGATGTGACCCAGTACCAGCCCAGTGCTATCCAGTCCATTCTGTCTGACTCAGCCACTGTACGGAGGGTTTCAGAGGCTAGATCTTTGTGGGAGCAGATAGCCTCGTGGTTCTCCTTCGGAGCAACTTGTGGGCTTGAACCGCCAACGTTGCTTTTACCAGTCCAGTGCTCACCTGTCAGCACCACCGGGGCTCCTTCTGGATGTGACAGTCATGTTAAATCATCCACCTGAATGAGAGATGTGGGGCTCCGATTCTGGCCAGGGCCTGGGGAAGAGGTGGAGAGACCAGGCGCAGCGCTGCCACCAGAGCCAGACCCCACACTCGCCTTGGAGTAGGGGCGGCAGGCACTGCCCTCCTGGACCACCTCCCAGTCCCTCCTGGCATGTTAGCCAGAGGAGGGCCCTGCAGCTGTGCACCCAGGGGACCCTGTGTGCTGGGGTGAGGGGGTCTCTCAGGGTAGAGAAGGTGGCCGCCACATGCGTGACGAGGGTGCAGCTCCTTAGGCAAGCCATGGCACTCCTGCCCCTTGGAGCCTCCACTGGCATTCTGTACCCAGATGGCCCTCCCAGAGGACCCTTAACCTGGCACACCCCAGTCAGGCACCTCCGTGCCCACCCCGAAGCTCCCATACATGGTGGTCATGGGCTCAGTACACCTGCTAACCTCCCAACCGCAACCCCCCCTTCTCCACTTGGGAAAACTACTTTTCTCTGGCCTCAGTACCCCCAGGTGACTTAGCTGCAGTGCAGGTATCCGGGTGACCAGGTACCCCTGCGCCCAGGCCCAGTGCATAAACACAGGGTGCTGGATCGTGGTGCTGAGTGGGGAAAGTGAAGCTGTCAGGCTGCTGAGCGGGCCTTGCAGGCGACCCCTGGGGGAGAGGAGGTCTCAGTGCTCACGTGTGTGTGCACGTGCCCTCTTGTGGCAGGACTCCCATGACCACCTCGTCTGTGACAACGTGGCTGCCCGTGGGGTCCTCTATCATTGTCTAGTGCCTAGTTTCCAGTGGTCTCGTTGCACAGCCCACTGGCTCCGGGGACCAAGCCCGGTGGCTCATGAGGCAGACCCCGAGTGCACACCCACAGAAGTGCCACAGCGCAGCAAGCACGAGGACTCCTTTAGCCCCGCCAGGGTGTGGACTCCGGCTGCCCCTTTCAGCGCCCCAGCAAACCCTCTGCAACCTCCCCCTCCCCCAGCAGGCTCTGCCCACCCAAGACCTAGGGTGCCCAACAGGACAGCCTAGTCAATGTGCAGCTGAGCAGGCTCTATGGCTTTTCTTTGTGCCCTGGCCTAAACTGGGCCAACCCTGTCACAGGACTCAGTTGGGTAGGCCCCAGGCTGCATCCTGGCCAGGAGCACACCTGCCCCTCACCCCACTGTGGTTTTCCAAGCCTCTCAGGTCTGGGAAGGTAAACCCAGGTCCCCTGACTCAGGAGTGTGGTCTGAATGTGGACCTAGCTGGGCCCAGGAGTCATTGGGAACTACAGGCAAGGGAGTCCAGGGGTGGGGTCTGGCCGGAGGGATGCTGTCATGCCCTGATTGCTTCAGCTCCCTGCAACACTGGGCCATTCTGGGTGTGGCCTTTAGAGAGCACAGACAATGGCCTGGGATGGGCCTTGAGGCAGGGGGCCCCCAGAAGCAATTGTCTGGCTGTGGAGGTAGCCAGAGGTCCACAGGGCCCTGAGTGGCAGTAGATGGAGCTCAGGCACCAATGTTGGGATGTGGAGAGGCTGAGCAGGCAGCTTCCTGGGCATGAGGGGTATGAACTGCCATTGTCCTCACCAGCAGGTGGAAGGCCCTCTCTCCAATGCTGGCACCTTAAGCAGGACAGGCTTTGAGAGGGCACAGGCAGGACACTGAGGTACTCCTGCGGACCTGGGCCACAGCCAGCTGGGAGAAAAAGTCTCGGCACCAGCTCTTATTTTAAAACTTTTTAAAAAATACACTCTTTGGCTCCTTTTATTTCTTGAGGGGGTTACATGAAGACATGGACTATACAGAAACGTGGACCTCCCAGGTTCCAGGCAGGTAGCAGAGTTGTAGACACGCGACCTGCCATCGAGACTCGCCTGGGCCTCCTTTGCGGCCACCTGTCCATCCATCTGAGCAGCAGAGGCCTCGCTAGGAGGAGGCGGTCATGAAGCTGTTCTCAATGCAGAGGACGATGAAGGCATGACGGCAGCTCGCGGGCTTCTGCTCCAGCAGCTTGCCTGTCAGCAGTGAGGAGTACTGGCCCATGGCTGCTGGGGACTCTGTCCGCCACGTCTCGCAGTAGCTCTCGGTCAGACGCCGCCCGCTGGGGTCCGAGCCGTGCCACACGCTCTTCTGGGGCCTGCAAGACATTGCTATCAGCTAGCCCCTGCCCGTGCCCAACGGAGGAGGCCCGGCCAGGCTGGACTGAGGAGTTGGGCGTGGGCACAGGAAGGCGGGGCCACAGCAGTCATGGCTTCTTTTACTCGTCAGCTACCCTGTTCTACTAAAGGGGAGGGGATTCATCCTTGACTAGTCTCCCTCAGTGCAGGGGCTCAGCCCAGACCAGGGGGAGAGGGGAGCAAGCGAATGAGGCTGCTCTGAGCACCTCAGCCCCCCGCCTCTGATCCAGACAAGTTCCACTACATGGCCCAGTCTTGGCCAGTGCCATGGCCCTGTGTGTATGGCTCAGGGTGACCAGTGAGTGCAGACACAGGCCCCCAGTGCCACTGCTGTCTGGGCGGAGGTGTTGTAACAGGCCTGCACACGCCGCATCAGCTTTGATGAAACATTTTGAAGGCGAGCCAGCAACTTCTGCTTGCATTCCACATGCCCCTGGATGCTGCACCAAGAAGCCCATCTTCTAGGGCATACCCGCCTCTGCCAGCTGTCAGTGGGTACGCAGAAGCACAGCTGAGGACGTGGTCGTGGGTGAGCTAGGGTGGGGTTAATTTGTTTGTTTAAAAATGCCACCGATGATCTTCATGCTCTCCTACATGTGATCAACTTTAAACAGCAAGTGTGCAGCCCCAACAGAACACTCAAGCCAGGGAGTCTAGCATATCTCACCAGGCTGCCTGCATGAGGGGTTTCTAAAGGGAATCAGAAGCCCCTCCCAGAGTCACCCTGCACACACCTTGTGCAGCAGGGCTGCGCTTGGGGGACCTACCAGGCAGGGTGCTTCAAGACGTCCCTGCCGTCGAAGGAGAAGATGCGGGCTCCGGGCCTCATCTGGCCCTCAGAGCCCGAGAACAAGGCCTCCCAGCTGGGGAACAGCACCTCGTCCTGTGGAGGAAAATGGGGCAGGGTCCACTTGTCACCTCCTGGCCTCAGTGACCGCTGCTGGGCAAGGCCTCAAGTGGCCTGGGCCACGGGTTGTTGGGAGGACAGGTGGATCCCAGTCGGGAGAGGGCCCATACTCTGTGCTCTGAATGCAGAGGTGGGTGGTGGGGTCAGCCCCCATTTCTACCTGGAGCAGGTTTCTAAGGAACCCCAGAGTTCCCAGAACATTGGAAAGCCATCGTAGCCCTCCCTACTCAGCAGTAGCCCAGAGTTAGGAGTAAGCTGACATGGAATACAACCATAAAGAGGACCCCACACAGCCCTCAGAATTTTAGACTCAGCCCACCCGCAGGCCCAAGGGTAGGTGCTGAGGGTGGGGATGTGGGCTGGTGCCTGAGCAGCACCCCAAAGACATTTCTTTTCCTTTCATCCTCAGGGCTGATCTTGAGTTGGGGAAGCCCAGGCCTAGCCCACGGGGCTGAAGCATGGTCCAGGGCACCCCATGGGTGACAGGGGCCCCAGGGCTCCCAGAGGCACCCACAGGGTAAGGGACTGTTGGTCACATTGGGGGACAGGGAGCCTCTGGAATTCTCTGGCGGAATCAGCCTAGTGAGTGCGTGTAAAGTGTAAGACGACCTACCCACGAGCCCACTCCACCGGGGCTGGGCCACATGTGCACGCCCACCTAGGAGTCGCTCATGGTGGGTGGGGCCTGCACGAGATCCACGATCCCTCTACTGCCATCCCTGCGATCCCACTTCCAATTGGCGCCCATAATCTCAGCGATGGCCCCAAAGGGCAGTAAGCCCACCTTGAGGTTGACGATGGGCACGTCCCCGCGGTCTGCGCGCCGCACGATGCTGTGCAGGTCTTGCAGCCTCGAGGACAGAAAGGCGCGGAAGGTACCCGTGAGCCCCTGGGCCCGCGCCTGCTGGAAGCACTGGAAGTCGGCGCCTCGGATGCCGCGCAAGCCCCCTGTTAGCGGGCCATTGAGGGCGACCAGGTGGAGCTGGGAAGAGGGTGGGGGCATGGGTCACAGGTCAGTGGGCTCCATCCAGCCCCTCCCTCTTTCAAGTCTTCATCCTTCTCCTGGCGGCCCTTGGCCCAGCCCCAGGGCGCTCACCACAGGCTGGAAGTCTTGGTGGGCGTGGCTAGGCACGAGGGTGGGGTGAGCTGGCAGGAGGTGGGAGTAGGCGCCATGGCTCCCAGAGTTTGACAGGCGGGCGTGGTTGGCCATGATGGCGGCATCTGATCGCCAGTTCCTTGTCGTAGAGGGTGGGGGCTCCTGCCAGATGTACGGACTGTCCTTGTGCACTACAGGGGGTTGCAGGGCGGCCACTTCGTTGTCCTGGGGAAGAGAGCAGGGGGTTGGGGGTAGGCATCATCCACACTGCACTGTTAGCATCCTAAAGGGCCCCGCCCTCCTCCAACTCCAGTTTGCATCCCCCAGGCAGGAGGGGCGGGCCTTCTAAGCGAGCTGCCTGCGGGCCCTGGACTGGAGTGTATATGGGCATGGAGTACAGGGGCCACCATGGAGAACCCTGCCATGCTCCAGACATAACCCCAGGGAGCCAAGTACACCCAAACCCTCTGCCCACCCTTCCTTGACTTCCTCTCCCTCCTTACACCTTTTGCCACCCACCCGATCCCTGTGCCTGGCATGCTGTCTGAGAGAAGATAAATAAAGCAATGGCGAGATTATTTCCTCTCCCAGAGCTTCTATCCTGCATGGAGCAGTGAGCCCCAGATGCTGTGGATGATGTCCTTCACAAATACACCCAGGTGGCACAGAGGGACTGCCGTGTGTCTGTGCCTCCACCCCAGCAGGGGCTGGCCACAGGGTACAGACTTCCAGACCTCTGCCACACCACTGTCGTTCCAATACCGTGGGGCCATCATCACATACCCCGTCCTGCCTGCCTGTGTACCAGCCCCTAGGCCCAGACCTGTAGACTAACTAACACCCATGGGAGATCGAAAGGCTCCTTACCGTCCCGAGTGGCAGTGGCGTCCGGCCCTCCAGCTGGAAGAGAGCACCAGGTTTACTCCAGGGACCTCTGACCTCCTGTCAGCTGCCCAGCCCAGACGCTGTAGCCACACCCCCTTCAAACTGCTTGCTGGCCACAACCACGGCTTATCACTCCTCCAGCCGGGATGTGAGCCCTTCAGAGTTGGCACAGGCCCACAACCCCAGTGTCCACCTCACACATCATGGGGGTCTGGCCAGTGTCTGCTGCCTCTGTGGCCAGATGAAGACACTGAGCATGGGAGGGCCAAAGGGGACTGGGATGTACGATATGTGGGGAGACCCCAGGTCAGGGGCTGCATCAATGAGGCCTTCATCAAAGGAGGCTCTGGGGAAGGAGTAGTTTTCAGGGACACCACGTCAACCTCTGTCCAGCCTCACCTGTGACACTGAGACAGGACCAGAGAGGGCTGGTCTTATCCATTCAAAAGGAAGTACTCTAGACAAACTAGATAGATGATCCTAGGCGCCCGAGGAGCCTGCCTGTGAGAGACCCGAGGCCCAGGTCGTCCCGACAATACCCAGGGAGCTCTTCACAGTGGGGTTGAGGGTCCACCCGCAGCCCTGGGCTGGCCACCCAATGGAATGCCCCTCAAACGCCGGTGGGATGAACGCTGACACCAAGTCACCTGTGTGCCAGGAGGTGAGACGGCAGAGGGCCTTCCCTTGTTTGCACTGTGTGCACAGGTGCTGCACAGAGAGGCGCATGCACCCAGGCCCTGCTCATCAGTCAGGTCGTATGTTCCACACGGGCCCATGAACACTGAATTAGTGAGTGCTGAACGAGCCTTGCCCGCCTCGGCTGGGAATGTGCACAGAGGGTGGCCTAATGGCTTTACCAGGTTTTACAGGTCGTGAGTGGGTGTGAAAGCCACAGTGAGTACTGACTTGGGGGTTGCAAATTTACAAATACAAAATCTGCAAATAATGAGGATTGACACACACACATACACACACACACACACACACACACACACACACACACACACACACACGCAAAGACCCAGCGCCCAGGGACCTAGTCTCTGATACTCTTAGCACATGTAGTGTGTTTGGTCCTTACAGCATTCGGGGAGAAGCGCTGGTTGACGCTGCCCCAGAGGATGCCCCACCAGTGGGGAAGGGACATGCCGCAGCTGGGATGGGGCGCCCTGTGGCCGGGCTTCTCACTTCTCTGCTATCCTCTCATGCTGTGCACCCCATGAGTGAAGGAGAGACGGCTTTGTGAGCCCCATGTATGCAGGGCACTGCCATCCAGGAACTCACCAGAACTCTCCTGAACCCATTCCGGACCCGGACGTACAGCTCCTCTCTCTCAGCCACGAAGATGAGCCAGCCCTCAGGCACTTCATGCACCTTGCTCAGCATGGTCTGGTACGTGGCCCAGATCTTCACCTGCTGGAACCCCAAACCCAATCCCTGGCCAAGGGTCCAGTCCGGTGGGGAAGGATGAGGCAGTGTGATTGTGGGGGTGCCTCCTGCGGCAGGCCACAGTTCCTGTCCATCACACCTCTGACAGGGATGGTCCCCCAAACTGGCTGAGCCCTCTTAGGAGGGAGCAGGGCAGGAAGCCAAGAGCCCCATTCCTGGCAGGGCACATGGCCCTGAAAACTCAGGGGGATCACAAGCCTGCCCTGAGCCCTGCAACCACTTTGGCCCTTGTACAGTGGACTGGCATATGGGTGATCCTGTCCTCCTCCTTCATCCCCCTGTCTGGTGCTCACATGAGCCCAGCTTCTCCTGCATCCCTCAGACTTCTTCTCAGCAGCTCAGAGTGGGGCCCACAGGGAGTCCCCTGGAGGAGCCCCCATGGCAGCTAATCCTCAACCCTCCAACCAGTGTTTCTCAACTGTCCTAATGCCATGACCCTTTGAGTTCCTCATGTTGTGGTGACCCCCAACCATAATATTATTTTCGTTGCTACTTCATCACTGTCATTTTGCTACTATTATGAATCGGGCAACCCCTGTGAAAGGGTCATTCGACCCCCAGAGGGGTCGGGACCCACAGATTGAGAACCGCTGCTCGAAGGATCAGAGCAGCCAGGCAGTAGCTGGGAGTGGCCGTGAGGGCCGGCTGGAGTGGAGCTGCTGGGCAGTGAGAGGGGGCTACCACCTGGATACTCACACCCAAGGATGCGCCCATGTTTCCAGGGGGACCTGGGGGACCCGGTGGGCCTGGGGGGCCAGGAACACTGATGGCTGTGCGAGAGAGAACAGAAGGGGAGGTCATGGCCATCCCCAGCTGGGCAGGCGGCACCACATCCTGAGGCTCACCAGGACCACTCCCCACCACACTTACTCTGCCTGTGAGGGCCAGGAAATGAGGGGAGTCCTGGAGACCCTGGGGGACCAGGAGGCCCAGGTGGCCCCTGACGTCCCTCATAGCCGGTGCCAGGGGGCCCCTGAGGGCCTGGGGGGCCAGGCAGACCTCGGATACTCTCTCCTTTGGGACCCTAGGGGAAGATGCCAAAACACAGAACCTTGTTACCTGCAGTGCCCAGGACCATACCAGCAGGCCTTAGAGGGCTGGGCCACCTACCTCGGAGCCCCTGCCCCTCACCCCACCATCTCCCCTACTCTTGGGACATGAGACCAGGGGTGGATCAGGGCACCCCCATGGGAATGGGGTGCTAAGGCCCAGCAGCAGCAGGGACCCCTTCTGTATGCTCTTTTAGGGCTCACTGTGAGGGGGTTGGGACCAGAGCATCAGTGAAAGACAGGGCCCCCCTTCCTGGCTCCGCATGCACCCACATTCCTCTCAGCCCCCAGGTGCAAAGACAAGGGGGTGTGGCCAGGAGAACAGAGGCTATTTCAGGAGGGCCCAGCTCACAGACCACGGCCTCTTGGGTCTGGGTGGGGTGCCTGGTGGGAGGGGACCTGTCCTTGGCCTAGGCCCAGCTGCACCCTGGAGACCTCTGCCTTCACTGGCTGTAGCGGCCCCAGGCTCAGCTTACCGGAATCCCAGGGTAGCCAGGGGGTCCAGGGGGGCCTGGCACACTGGAGCCGAAGAATCCACTGCCCCCCGGCTCTCCCCTCTCTCCTTTCTGTCCAGCGTTCCCGCGGTCACCCTTCTCGCCCTGTCGGTAGAAGCACTTGTCTGAAGCAACGTGAGCTGTTAGAGGCCGGAGCCCTCTCGTCCTCCCACCCGGCCAAGGTGAGGCATCAGAAGTTTCTGGAGTCTGGCCTGGAGCTCCCTCCACTGAGAAGGAGCTTCTCCCTGAACCCTGCCATTCCCTCGGGTCTCCCACAAAACCGAGGTAAAGGTCCTTGGGTGCCCATGGGGCCTGAGGCTGGTGCAGCCGTTGCAGGGAACCTGCTGACCAGGCAGGTCTAGAACAGACCCTCGTGTCCCTCATGGGGATATAGGGCCCCAGTCTAGCTCTGACAGCCCACTCACCTTCATCTCTGCCTCCAACTTCATGAAGTCGAACGGGAACTGCCCTGAAGATTCGTAGGGAGGGAGGGGGGAAGGAGAGAGAGAGGATGTGTGAGGACCCCCCGACTCTCCTGCAGCTACCAGGCCTCCCTTTCTCCCTCCCGCCCTGTCCCACTCCCAGCAGCACTGCAGCCACCCAGGGCGGCTGAGGCAAGAGACCCTGCTGGCCCCTGGCTGCCCTGCAGAGCCCGCATGCTGACCAGGAGGGAGAGAAGGACCCTACTCACAACCCATTTGAACCCACTTGGTTGCTGGGTAGTCTACAAGTGCTGAGGGTGCCCGGCATCACCCAGAATGACTGGCTGGATGGTGGCAAGTGCACACCCGTGGAACCACCTGCGCGGGGCCCCAGCTTGCCCTGTTACCAGTCCCCTATGACAGCATGCCACTGCAGCTTCCGGGGGAGCCCCCTCACCCGCATTGTTGCCCCCCACTCCTCCAAACAGCAGGGTCACCTCCGATAAGCAGATCTAAATGGAGGTCCCAGGGCCTAACTCTCGGGAGCATCATTGTGGGATTTGTCCAGAGGCCTATGCCAGGGTGGCCGTGCCCTGTGGCCACATGTCAGGATGGGTGTCCTCCCCTTCTTCTGTGAAGGAGAGTCAGCAGCCCTACAGTGTAGTGGGTGAGGCCTGAGGCTGCTCAACACAAGGCCAGCAGTTGGAACCCAGCAGTTGCTCCTCGGGAGAAAGATGAGGCTGTCTGCTCCTGTACAGATGTGTACAGCCACAGACACCCACAGTGGCCATTCTGCCCTGCCCAGGAGGGTTGCCATGACTTGGAATTGAGTCTGTCAGTGGGTTTCGTATGGGGCTTCCAACTGTGGAACGCCGGTATGTGTATGTGTGTGTGTCCACACTGGCCCCATCTCATCCTCCAAACTGGCCGCCTCTGGGTGTCTTCACTGGCTGGGCGCATCTGAGTTTGTGGCTCCTTTCCACATTTAACCCCCCTGTGGTCTTCGGGCTCCTCATTCTTATACTGAGAAGCCACCTGGCTTTGGATGGGGGAACTCTTGAATGTACATGGTGCTTTTTCAATCTTCGGTTGGCTCTGAAGTTGGTCGCTGCCTCTGCCTGACAGCCCCCTCGCTGGCTCTGCAGTCACACACGCAGGTGCCGCCGTGTCCCGCCCGGCAGCTCACTTTCTCCTTTACAAGGCCTGCTGTGACACTCCTCCACCATCCAAGCGTGACATGCAGTGCTGCTGGCTGAGCAGCCCGGGGTGGGGTGGGGTGGAGGCAGAGCACCTCAGGACAGCCCAGCACACCAGGCCGGCTGCCACCCTGCTCTCAGCAGGTGGGGCCTGCGGCTGTCCCATCAGAAGAGGAGCCACCTGGGCCCTGGGCACAGGCTCCTCCAGTAAGGCTGACCCCAACCCCAGCCACCCTTCGTAGTCCCCGTGCTGGCCTGCTGCCGTGCTGGGGCTCTGGACACAGCGAATGCTGGAGACACTTCCCCTGCAGTTGAGGTGCCTGGGGCTCACTCACCTGGGGGCCCCGGTGGGCCCACATCTCCTTTGTCACCCTTCGGCCCAGAAGGCCCCTGATACCCTGGTGGGGGTGGGGGGTGGGGGAGAAGGCAGAGATGAGATAGATCCATCACTGGAAAGGGACCGGGGAACAGAGACCCCTCTAGCAGGGCCTCCACACTGGGTGGGGAGGGAGACAAACTGGGCACGGCCAGTGGCGCTTGTGAAAGACAGAGGTACGTGCCCCCACAGAGCCGTGTGTTTCTCCCCTCTCCCCCCGCGGTGTGCTCAGGGCTGTCAAGCAGAGGGGTCCTGTGACAAGAACAGCAAGGGCCAGGCTGTTGGCCAGTGCTGAGTTTGAGCTCAGGATGGCAGATGGGCACCCAAGCCAGCATCTGCCTCCACTGAGAATCAGGCTGCCTGAAAGGCTGTGTGGCGGAAGCAGGGGCAGGCAGGACGAGGGACTGGGCTCTGTGAGGATGGGGGTGTCCTGCCCGTCAGAGCTGCCAGAGTTTCAGACATCCTGGGGACGGGAGGCCCAGGGTTAGAAAGGGATTCAGAAACCCTCACCGCATCCCCGCAAAGGGCTGTCCCCTTCTGCCCACCAACAGCCGTCAGTTGTGAGCTCGGGACAGGTGGAGGGACTTGCCGTACCCTTGGCCTCTCTGGGCCCCACGGCTGTGGCTCAGGAACCCCCTGAGCTTGCTGCCCACAGGGCAGCCTTACCTGGCAATCCAGGAGGCCCAGGGCGGCCTGAGTTGACAAATGCCTGCCAGGGAAGGGGGCAAGGCCAGCACTGAGCATGTGCTGCTTTGGCCATCGAGGCCACGGCCTACCCAGACCCCTCCCCATGGGCACACAGGGCCATGGAGGCTGTAGGAGGAGAGAGGCCATAGGGGTCTGGTTGCTCATCTCTCCAAGCCTCGGCTTTCCCGTATGAAGTGGGGCACTGCACCACAGGGCTCAAGCATTCAGCAGCACCCACACCTCGGAGCCCCCCAACTCCCATGTCCAGTCCGCCCTTTCCAAGCAGGGCAGCCCCACACTCAGATGAGCCTGCAGGGTCTATGGGAGCCACACACCTGCTCACAGGATCAACTTCGAACCTTAGCCTCCTACCCCGAGGGCCCAGAGAGCCCAGGCTGCCCCGCTAGCTTCACTGGGGAGCAGAGCTGGGGCGGAGGAAAGGAGGCCCAGAGGCTCCCCGAGGTGCTCTGCAGGGAGTGGTCAGAGGGCCCATGGGGAGGAGCATGGGCTTGTGCACCCTGGAGACTTACACTGCTGTCGTACACAGGCATTCCAGCAGGGCCAGGGGGCCCTGGAGGCCCCGGGGGGCCGGGTGGACACTGTGGGGGAGGGAAAGGGCTGGTCAGCCGTGCTCAGTTCCGGCCCTCCAAGGACCGGCACCTCTGCCCAGCACAGGGAAGGTGGAACTCGGCTAGGCGCCCTTCCCATTCCCAAGGACCTGCACCTGCCACCCTCAGGCTACCTGCCAGCTCCCCCAGGATGTAGGGAGCCTGGGGCTGGGGTGCGGCCGAGCGGCCTGGGTTTCCTTCAGAGTTTAAAAGTTAACTCTAGGACGCTCAGGTGTCTGTGTGTGAGTATATGAGTATGTGTGTGTGTGAGAGAGTATGTATGTGTATGAAAGTGTATATGTGTGTGTATGTGTATAAGTGTGTGTATGAGAGTATATGTGTGAAAGTGTGTGTATGCGTGTATGATACTGTGCGTGTGAGAGTATATGTGCATATGAGCATATCTATATGTGTGTGAGTGTAGTATATGTGTATGTATGTATGTGTGCAAGTGTGTGTGTGTATGAGAAAGAGAGTATGTGTGTGTGGTCGAGGAGCTGTGGACCGCCGGTGGAGGTGTGGTCACCTGTGAAGCCTGGGCATCCCCGCACCCTTGCCCACTGGGCTGCTGCCCACTCACCCTCATGTTGAATCCGGCGTTCCCCGGCTCCCCTTTCTCCCCTTTCAGTCCATTCATCCCCGGGCGACCCTGTGGCAGAGCAAAGTGAGTGGGCACCCCTGACCCTCTCTGTGGTCTCCCATCAGCCCTGCCCCCACGACCCTAGGGGTCCTCACCGGCCGTCCAGGAAACCCGATCTCGCCCTTGTACCCAGGCCGTCCATAGTGTCCCTACAGAGCAGAGGACATGGGGTCAGTAAGCAGAGGAGCAGGGGACACGGGGGTGCGGGTCCCAGAACCTCACCTCCCAAGTTGCCCCAGGACCCACCCAGCTGCACACCTACCAACACTCGCTGCCCAGAGTTTACAAGGGTGACCCCCGTCCCCACGCCCAGCAGGTGCAGCTCAGCCCGTGGGGCTGTGTCCACACACACGTGGCTGCACATGAAGGGTCAGCTCAGTCCCAGGAAGGCAGGGCCTTCAGTGCAGATGCAAGCTCAGAGGGGGCCTGCCCCAGCACTGGGGACTAGAGCAGATGTAGGGGTGTGGCAGGCCCCATGACCCCACCCCTCACTTCTCTGTGTGGCTGGTACCCCAGAGTGGGCATTGGCCACAAGTATGGTCGAAGGCAGACCCTGTTCATACTCACCGGGGGTCCTCGGTGGCCTGGCTCACCCTGAACAGAAACAAGTGGATTGTCAGCGTAGCTGCTGGCAGAATTCTGCCCACCGGGGAGGAGGATCCCCAGCTGGGAGATGGTTAGAAGCTGGGGTCTGAGATCGGTGGGCACACGGAGAGGGCCCACCCTGAAGTTCAGCAGTTTGGAATCTGCCAGGCCCCAGGGGTGAGCTGGCCTGGACAGCGTTCTCCCTGCCCCTGTGGGCCCAGGGAGCAGAGGGAAGGGCAGGGGCAGCAGCAGCGGCTCTCCTGGTGTGTACGTCAGGGGGTCCTCAGGCCCGGAGGCCACCCCCACAGCGTCCAGGGCCCCACCTTGCTCACAGGCCTGCTAGGTTGTCCCTGCGCCTAGGAGACCCTGGTCCAGCCCCTCTCAGACCGTATGATCATCTGCTGGGATGGACCCAGGTCAGCAGGTCCGCGGAGAAGCCACTCCCTGGCCCCAGCCGTGCAGGGGGGTAGGGGTGTCCTTTGGGTACTCCCTGGGGTCCTGTTGACCCAGGTTTGAGGAGAGGCAGCCCTGGAGGCTGAGGACAAGGAACTGGGAGCTGCCAGGTTCCTTCCTCTCCCATGGGTGAGGTCCACCCGAGTCTGCAAACCCTGCAGATTGGACTCGCCTAATAGGAGGAGAGGCCTGCTCACTCGGCCTTCAGGGCTGACTTGGACCCGGGGCCTGGAGGGTGTGAAAGATGATGGACACATTCAGCGGTCAAGGAGGGCCCTCTGCAATCCCAGACCAGTGCTAGCCAGAGCAGTCAGCAGGAGCCAGCCTCTCAGGGGACAGCCCTCGGAGCTGCTCTGTAGCGCCTGCCCTCACCTTGGCTCCTTTCTCCGGAGGGGCCAGGGCCATGCCGTCGGGATGGAAGATGGGGCCAGCCTCGCCCTTCTCACCCTGGAACGAGAGGCCCGGCCAGGGTCAACCACGGATTCCAAAAGGTCGTGGCTGCCACCTGGGTAAGCCCTCTCTTCAGGGCCCCACTGGAGAGACTGTCGAGGGAGTCCCAGCAAGGGAGAGGACCCAGGCTGGAGTCTGTCCCTGTGCCTGGCCACAGTCTGGCGGATGTGACACCAGCAGACACTGAGCACTCTCAGGGCCCCAGGGGGACTGTCCATTAAAGCACAGCTCAGCTCCTGCCAAAAGCTCTGGCCACAGAGAAGCTGTTCTCCAGGCCCTGCTGGGCACGGAGCCTTGTGGGAGTGGCCCGCAGACAGGAGACCCAGGAGGGAACCCTGTGGCCGCACCTTCTGTCCTGGGGAGCCAGGTTCTCCTCTGGAGCCCATGTCGCCCTTTGGCCCAGCTGGTCCCTGGAAAGGAGGTCACACTGGAGTGGAAGAGCCAAGGGACTTGGCCTCCCCCACCACCCTGGGAGGGCCACCTCCCTCCCACCACACGCCTGCCAGCACGAGGCTACTTACAGCAAAACCTGCGGCCCCCAGCCTGCCCTGCAGGGAAGAGGACGTGTCAGCCAGGGGTCAAGGCAGTGTCAGACACCCCCAGAAACAGCGCCCCACCAGCACCTAGAGGGCCAAGCTGGGGGCACACTCCTTAGAAACCAGGGGAGCCCGTACCTCGTGTCCCGACTCACTCCCAGTCACCTTCTGTCAGCAAACCAGCAAGGAAAGACCAAACATAACAGAGAAAAACGGTATTTAAAATTAAACTCCAACTCTCATTCCGTCAATCTTACAAGCACCCACAGAACGGCCCAAATGAAATTCAGAAAGAAAATTTGGCTTTCCTACATCTTCCGGCTTTTGTCTAAGGTTGCTCAGATGATCACTGGGGCCATCGGCCGGGCAGTTCTGACGTCTGGGCACAGGGACCCGGCTCTCAGCACAGTGCCCCCGTGCGACAGTGAGCGGGGTTGTCCTCAAGTGCACAAGCCTGCAGCGCTGCAGCTGTTAAGCTCCCTTTCTTTACTGTGCTGCGCAACTCCAGGTGCATGGCCCTGACCTGCAGCGGGTCGGTCCGCCGGTTTGGGCCTCCCTGTCGACGTCCACGTGGGCCAGCCGAGTGGCGACCGACTGGGCAGTGCTTGCGGAGTGCCCAGCCAGGAGTGCTCGCCCTGCCTGAGCCCTGCTTTACACTTCGAGTCTCCTTGCGACTATTTGTGAGGGACTGTGAAATGGCTGCTCTTAGCTGTCTGCACGCTCAGCCACATCCCTCCTCACACCACTGTCCAGAGAGGTCAAAGAGTGCATCCTAGGTCACACAGCGGATTGCGCCGGGATGCGAGCCAACATTGGCCCCCAAGCCTTACTCTTAGGTCTGCACCAAGCAGCTGCTCCCATAGCGGTCAGGGAAGTTGGTTTCTCAGCTGAGAATTTCGCATGGCTGCATGCCAGGGGGCTGTCTGCACTGTCTGCTTTGAAAGTGTGGCTTGCTCACCCAAGGGGCTCTGTGGCCCCTCCATGGCCTTGCCAAGTGCAGGGGCTACATAGGAGGGGCAAGGGACAGGTGACATGCTCAGACAAAAGAAACATGCTGCCAACAGGCAGGCCAAGGGGTTTCCCAGGAGCATTGGCAGGGCAGCCAAGGAACCATGGAGACCCCGGGGCCGAGGAACGTTCTAGACACTGTCATGGTCCTTTGTCAAAGATCAACGGTAGAGCCCCTTTTACCTTTCCTGGGAAGGGTCCCTAGATTGAGGATGAGCATTTGGGACTATACACTCAAGGCTGGAGGAAGGGAACCAGTCTGGGGTGGTATCGACTGTAAGGCTGGCCGCGTGGGTCACTTCCAGAGGGTCCCATCTGTGTGGTCCACAACCTTGGCTCCCCAGGGCACCAGGACCCATTGTCACTGCGGTGAGCATGCGCACGCACGGAGACCAGTTTCTAAGGAAAGGGTGTGGCCTGCCCTTACCTCCCTGTCTGGCCCCTGTGACAGAAGGACTGGGCTGCCCATCTGTCCCCACCTGCAGGCACCGGCCCCCCCCACCAAAGTGCTCATGTCCGATTGGGATACTTAGGGGACGGTGGTTTCTCAGCCCCTAACCTTGACTCTCCATTCCAAACTTCTTTCTGCGGTGAAAGGCACTGGCCTCCCCGCCTGACCTTTTTCTCTTCCTTTTAAAATGTCTTGCCAGAAGGAGGCCCAGTGGCTGATTCTGAGTAGAACCAACAGGGGGAAAGGAGGGAAGTAAGTTGGGAAATGGGTGTGTCTTTGGGGTCACTCTATGGGGGTGCTGACTGAAGGCCCCGTTTCCAGCCCACAGTGGTCTGGGCTCTGCCCTGCACCAGAGGTGACTGAAGCGGTAGGCGTGGGTGCCTGGCTGGGAAAGGCATTCGCCATGGTACCCTTACGTCCTGCTCTGCTGACACGTAGACCACAGGGCCCGGGGGTCCAGGTGGCCCTGGGAGTCCAGGCTGCCCCACGCCGTCCTTTCCTGGGTCACCCTGGAAGAGAAGACCTCATTCTTAGCTCTTTGCTTGGGGGTGGGGGTGGGAGAACTGTCACACAGTTGTGAACAGGTTCCCGTAGCCAAACCCATATTTGAAGAGGGGTGTCCCTGGAGCTCACCGGACATGAAGAGGCATCTAGGGGCTGAGGTCAGTCAACCCCAGGGACCACTGTGCCCCACACCCGTCTTCTGCACTTCCTCATTGTGGTGCGGGCTTTGTGCTCCTCCCTGGTCCCGGCATCCCTCCCCATGCAGGGCAGGCACCCCATCACTGACGGCCACCAATTGGAGTTACTGGGGCCACACGTGCACAGCAGTGGGAGAGGGCAGTGAGCGGCACCCCTCCCACGGCCTCACTGGGGACACGCACCTTTGCTCCTTGACTGCCTTTGTCGCCTTTGGGTCCCTGCAGAAAGGGGAAGGAGGGGGTTCACCGTGATCACAAAGGGGTGCAGAGAAGGCAGGTGGTGACTGGACAACTTCAGGAAGACATGTGGACCCGGGGCCTGTGCTCCAAGGAGCCACTCACAGGATCCAGGGGTGACGTGGCGGGCCCAGGTACGCCCGGGTCCCCAGGAAGGCCCCAGGTGTCAGCTCTCTCCATGACATGGCCTTGTAGGAACTCCCACCCCTCTGGGGGCTCCCAGCGCAGGGTCAGCAGATAGGAGCCATCTGACCCTCCAACCCCAGGGGACTCACAGGAGCAGTTCTCTCACCTGGGGCCCGGCTGCACCCTCTCTGCCGGGAAGGCCGGGGAACCCCGCAGGGCCTTCCCCTCCAGCTTCTCCCTGAATGACAGGACGCGAGAGAAACACGTCAGGCTCGTGGCTGCACCCCCGTGGGTTTTGGGGAGCTGGCCTTGTTCCACCGCCGTGTCTCCCCACACCGGGGAGGGAGTGGGGAGGTTGGTGTCAGGTGGAGGCCTGGTGGACCCAGGGCAGGAAGGAGGAGCAATCTTGGGACACAGGGACACTGGGACCAGGCCTAGGTGGTAGTGGACATCAAAGGGGGTCGCTTTTGAAACAGGCACATTAGTGGTAGCTGCCAGGAGGTCTTGGGAAAGATGGGTGGGCATAATGGCCTCACTGGACCCTTGGAGTGTGCCCATATCACCTCATTTACTTACAGAAGCTGGGAGATGGGCTTAGCGAGACAGAAGGAGCCACAGGCCCCTCCCTTGCCCTTGAACTGGGGGTTGTGGGTTATCTGAACCAGAGAAAAGGATCTCACCTTGGCCCCAGGTGTTCCAGGATCCCCCTAAAATGGATGAAGTGCCCCTGTGAGCGCAGTGCATAGGCAAGCCCACTCCTGCAGCAGCACCACCCACTCCCCCACCCCAACTGTGCCTCCCAGGGAGGGAGGGGGTGCTAGTGAGTGATGGCTGCATCTCACACAGCCCCCCAGGCCCCCACCCAAATGTCAGGGCTGAGGCAATGATTGGGGCACGTAGTGCAGCTTGTGCAAAGGGCCTGAGGCCCACTGCTTGCCAAGGTCAGGAAGTCACATGCTAAGGGACACACGGTCTGGACTGTTCTGGAAGCTGTTTGCCTCTAAGACGGTTCCATTAGTTTCACCACTAGAAGCTCGCCCCCAGGTGATAGCCCTTTTGGGCCTCCTGCCCTGTCCCACCCCCTTGGGCATGCAGGAGTAACTGGGGGCAGTGATGCCAGACCCATGGGGCTCTTGTTTGTCCTCAAAGCATGGAGCCTGGCACATGGCCTGGAAGAGACGCTCCCAGGCCCTTTCAGGGAAGCCAGCCCCGCTTTTCCCACGGCTCCACGCTAGGGCTTCCCTGCCATTGAGCGGGACATGGGTTGGGGTCACTCCAGGTTCCTTGCTGAGCCCTGCCTCTCTGTCCCTCAGCACTTGCACTGCAGACACAAGAACCGAAGGACCAGGTCACAGCAAGTGGACAGCTGGACAAAGGCCCCCTGCTCCTGCTGCGTGACGCTCAGGGAGGGGCTGGGTGGGGCTTTACTCCCCCTCTAGGCTTCTCTGCCTTTGGCAAAGTCTTTCCCCAGGGGTCAGAAACCACGGGGGTCAGTGGGGCAGGGACCCTGAGTGTGGTCCTCACTGACCTTGTGTCCCGGAGGGCCAGTGGGTCCCTGTTGGCAGAGAAGAAGCAATGGCATTAGTGCAGCCTCTGGGCCCTGGTTCACTGCCTTAGCCCCGCAGAACGGAGCGGCCGTCCTGGCTCCACGAACTTGTGGGCATTGGTCAGCCAGGCTGACCAGCGGGCATGGATGGGCTTGGGGTCTCAACGGGGCTGAGGAGGTGCCATGAGTGTCCCAAGTGGGGGTCCTGAGGTCCTCCCTGGATGCCTTTTATTTAACTGAGAATAATAACTAAGTATGTGTGCGCCTTTAGCAAAGGGGAGTCTTAACCAGGTGGTGCCTTAACCAGGGCTCCTAAGGGGTGGGGGCACCCCCTGTTTCCCCACATGCTGTTCCTCCCTGGGCGTTCTTTGCTAGCAGGGTGCTGGGCGTATCCCGGCTGTGCTATCTTATCTGGGGTACGGTGCTGCCTTGCTGAGCTGAGCCTTGACCATGCTCTGGGAACAGCAGATTCAATGGGAGCTCGCAGGGATGCCCCCGAGTCTTGAATCTTACTCAGGCTAAAGGATGCTGCTTCCTAAGTTAGAGCCATCCGAGGAAACCAATGGCTTCTTCCAGGGTCCAATCCACCCCCAGTGGTCTCTGCCCATCTTGGGGACTAGCTTCTCCCCTCCACTGACTCTGGGCCCACAGTGGAGGGTTTCAGAAGGGTGCAGGGGCCAGGATGGGACCGTGACCTGGAGCAAGTCCCCCAGCAACCCCGTGGGACCGCCACTGTCCTCGAGATGCCAGTCCAGGGGCATCTTCCTGTGAGGGTCTTGCTCTGGAGGCCCAAGGACCCACCCAGTGGGCAGTACCTGTGGTCCGGTGGAGCCGGTGGACCAGAAGGGCCCTCCAGAACCTTCCATGTCATCCTGGAGAGAAACAAGGAAGGGATACTTGGGTCTGCTCTGCTCTGTCAGGAGACCACCCTCGGGATGAGTGAGGTCCATGCCATGCTGGGGCTGTTGCTGCAGGGTTCACCCTCAGGGCCCCCGTGCAGTCCTGGGCTGGGAGGGGCTGCAGAGCAGGGCTGTGGGGCTGCATGGAAGTCCCCTTAGCATCCAGAGACCACGAAAGCAAGGTCAAGTGGGCAGGGTGGGCTAGGTGCATTCCCAGCACGGGGGTTGGGGGCGGGGGAGCTCCAACCCTGGCAGTTTCAGCAGTAGGCAGTGTGGGGGCTGCTTCCTCCCCACCTGCGCAGGCACTGTGCACACATGACATGACCAGCGATCATGAGGTGACCAGTGGGGTGGACTGAGGTCAGTGCCCTGCCTGTGGCAGAAGAGTCATGGGGGCCAGACTAGCTGCTACTCACAAATCCTGCTGCTGCAAATCCTGGTCCTGGTGGCCCTGGGGGTCCAGGAGGACCTGGGGGTCCTTGCGGTCCAGCTGGTCCAGGGTCTCCAGCTAGGCCATGCCTCCCAGGAGCACCAATGGGACCGGGGTCTCCCCGACCACCCTGCAGAGTGGGAAGAGGGACTGGGTGATTGTGTCCTCAGGGTTTCAGCTGAACCCCAACGCCACCCACAGCACCCCAACGACCCTCATTCTCTTAGCACGATTAAAACATAACTGAAAACGCAAGGAAGCCGGGCACGCCCGGAGCTTTTCTCTCCCTGCTGGGTCGAGGACAACCGTGTTCACTGAGCAGCAAGACAGAGGCACCAGCCTCAGGCCTCATTCGAGGCGCATGCCGGGCACGGGGCGAAGCATGCTGCCCGCACCCACGGCTGAGTTACCTCCGGCCCAGGGCCCCCGCAGCTGGGGGGTAGCGAGAAGGAGCTGCAGCAGGAGCGGGAAGGAGCCCCAGCGCTGCTGGAAGGAGTGAATGGAAGAGAGAGGGGAGAGCGGAGCTTAGAGAGAGCCAGGGTGCGGGCTCGGCCCAGGACCCCAGGGCCACTGGTAACATCCTGGGGAGGAGCCAGCAGGGGCGGCAGGTAGTGCGACAGACAGGTCCTGAAGCATGTCTGCTGCCCTCAGTCCTGGAATCTGAGGGAACAGGTAGGAGGAGGCAGGTGGAGCTCGGAGGATGGAGATCAGGGGGTGGGGCAGAGAGGGCTTCGATAAAGGGCGCTAGTGCAGGTCATCCACACAGGACCCTGGGGGGCACTGAGCGGCTCCAGGTTTCAGCGTCCCTATCTTAGAAGGGGGTCGGAGTTTAGAATCCAGTGTCCTCTCACCCTCAGGGGCCCCTGAATGGGATGGCGGGAGGGCCTTGGCAAGCCTGGTTGGTGCATAGCAAAGGGGCCCCTGCCTGTCAGTCAGGACTGGGGTTCATGGGAGACAGGCCACCGGATTCTATGGGGACACAGTGCAGGTGCCACCTTCTCATGGCACCCACATTCTCCTCCAGCCCCTCACCAGGGAGGGGCCCACTCACCTGCCGATGCCGCCGTCCCCACCCCTGGGAACCCCACCCCTGTTTCTATCCATATCTTTATCCCAAATGTTGCTATGAGTTCTTAACCTTGCTGGTCACTGTCTGCTTAGAGATTACTAACATGTCGCCACCTGATTTCTCCAGGGCTAGTTTTATTGGGATCTTACATTCTATTTAGTATTATTGTTATTATTGGTATTAATTGTACCTAGTGCTTTTGATCATTTTTAAAATCTCATATGTGTCTTTAGATTTTTATATTGAGAAAATTGTGGTTTTTTTAACCTTTCTAATCTCACTTTTTAGTATTCTTTCCCCCAGCATTTAACCTTTTCTCTCATCTTAACCGTCGTCCCCAGAACTTGAAGCTCGCATTTCTATGCACACGTGTGTATCTACATGTACCTCAGAAGCCTGGGGGCGTGGTGGCTGTGAGGGAGGGGCTAACTGCGAGGTGAGCAGTTCAAACCACCGGCTACTCCTCCGGAGAAGACAGGCCTTTTCTACTCCCGTAAAGAGTGACAGTGCTGGAAACTCACAGGGGCAGGTCTACCCTGAGTTGACAACAGCTGATGGCAGGGAGTTTGTTTTTTGGCATATACACGTATACGCATGTACAGACGTGTGTGTATATATGTGCGAGGAGGTGCATACATATATTTGAGCATATACATAACGGTTGCTCATGGTAGCAAAGGTTTGGGCTCAGGAGCTAACATAAAGCTTGGTGGGTGAAACCCACCCAGAGATTCTGGACGAAAAAGATCTGGGGTTCCGCTTCTATTAATATTATAACCAAGAAAACCCCACAGGACCATTCAACTCGGGGACACACAGGGTCCCCAGGAATACAGGGAGGGCGACTTAGAACAATAACAAATATGCAGGTCTGCACTGACTGTAAACCTGTTAGCCTTCCATTAACAACTGAGCCCCCTCTCAACTCCTCTCCCCATCGCTCCCTACTGGGGCTCATGCTGCCGCCCCTCCGCCCCAGACCCAGGGCCCGAAGTCCCAGTCTCTGTCCGGTGGCTTCGCTGGCAGACAGCACCTTTGACCTGCCCAGGAAGGAGTGGAAGGAATAATGGTTTTGACTTGAAGGGTCCTAGCCTAGAGCAAGCCTCTTGGTTTGCCTGTGGTGGGAAGGGGGGTGTCACGGCACCTAGCTCTGCTGGGGCTCACCTATCTTCCAGGTGGCCCTTCTGCTTCCTGCCGGGTCGAACACTGCTAGTTAGATACGCAGTCTGTGGCCCTGGACCCCAGACCTACCTCCAGAGGAGGTCCAGGGCCTTTAGAATGGGGCTTTGACTGGCTTGGAATTTCCAGCACTAGACTGGGGCCTCTGGTCCTCTAGGGTCTGAGCTACTCCCTCCAGACCCCACTCAACTCAGTAGGCCTGAGCCCTGAGAACATTCCCTAGTCCCCTCAGCTTGTTCTCCGAGGCACTGGCCGTCTGGCCCCTGGGGCAGTGGAACTCCAGGGGTTCAACTGGAACCCAACGCAGGTCAGGGTGCACCTCAAAAGCAAGCCTGAAGGAGCTCAGCTCCCTTGGGAGTACGGGAGGGACCCTGCTGGGTTCTCGGGCCACAAAGGCAATGCCCACCCAGAGCAGGCTCCTCTCCTCTTCCTACATTCCCGGAGGCCTCCTCTTGCCTAGGAGCAGGTTTACAAGGGAGATCTGACCTCCCCTTTTTAGCACCACAATGCCTCTGACCTCCGAGTCCTCCTTCCTAGTCTGTCCTCTGTCTGGAAGCTCCGCCGACACCTGTTTCCTTTGGGTGACCCTGCTGGCATGTGAAATATCAGTGACACAGCTTCTAGCATCACAGCAACTCGCAAGCCACCCCAGTACGACGGACTGACCAAGAAACGGCCAGCGTCCTCCTTAGAGGCAGGGCCCAGACGCTGGGCCTGTCGTCAGGAGAGCAGGCCCTGCAGGAACTCCCCCTGCTGGGGGAAGGAGGGAAGCGGTGGAGAGAGGAAGCCCCTCAAGGAGCTGGATGGATGCGGGGCTGCAACGGTGGGCTCGGGCACAGGCACAGGGTCGCGCACAGTGTGCTGACAGCTTGCAGGCTGCTGAGACGCAGGAAGCCGTGCCCCCGGCACCACAAACACCAGCAGCAGCATCCACGGCGGACAAGTGTCAGCAGCGCTTCCGGACTGAGACAGCTCTTCCGGAGGGAGAGGGGCCTGGTGATCTAATGAAAATCATCCAGAGAAAGCCCTGCGGCTCACAAGACAGCACTCCCCAGGTCATGCTGGATGGCGAGGCTCTCTGAATTGCAGGCTTTCTTCAGCCCAGGAGGCCGCGAGGAGTCAAGGCTGGCTCAACAGCCACCAGCAAGCACCCCGGAGGAGGAACAGGTGGCAGGGTAGACCAGAGGCCCTCGGCCAGGCACAGGCAGCCTCACAGAGAGGCTCCATTCACCAGG